AGAGAGAGAGAGAGAGAGAGAGAGAGAGAGAGAGAGAGAGAGAGAGAGAGAGAGAGAGAGAGAGAGAGAGAGAGGAAGAGACGAGAGAAGAGACATAAAGAGTAACAGAGAACGAAGTAGCGACAGAAGTAGAGATTGATGGAAAGTAAGAAAGATAGGGATAGATAGATGGAGAGTGTTTGGGGCAACAGACTTAGGGACAAAACTAGCTGTGAGAAAACAAGGATATGTGAGGATAGAGTGTGCAAGAGAGATGGGGAGAGAGGCAATTAAAAATAAAGGAAAAAGAGGGCAACAGATAAAAAGGAAAGAGAGAGGGCGAATGACAGGCAGAGGAAGAGATTTAAGGAGAGACACCAAGAGAGAGAGAGAAGGGAAGGGAACTATCAGGGGGGAAAGTGCCAAGCCATTACGACTATATAGCACTTGGAAAGGGTCAGGATAAGGATTTGGGATGGGACGGGAGGGAAGGAATGGTGCCCAACCACTTGTGGTCGGTCGGGGATTGAACGCCGACCTGCATGAAGCGAGACCAGAATGTGGAAACTGGAAGGTTTCCTTCGAGACGTCTGGTTGATATAGTCCCCTAACAACTTGCTCTTGAATCTTCAACCTGGTTGATACCTGGTTGATGGGGTTCTGGGAGTTCTTCTACTCCCCAAGCCCGGCCCGAGGCCAGGCTTGACTTGTGAGAGTTTGGTCCACCAGGCTGTTGCTTGGAGCGGCCCGCAGGCCCACATATACCTGGTTGATGGGGTTCTGGGAGTTCTTCTACTCCCCAAGCCCGGCTCGAAGCCAGGCTTGACTTGTGAGAGTTTGGTCCACCAGGCTGTTGCTTGGAGCCACTGTCTACACTTCAACCCTTACTGACAACAATAACAACAACACGTGACCAGTCACTGTGTATTCACTATTTGTACTTACTATTTCTGCCTGCAGGATCGAGCTGTTAGCTCTTGGACTCCGCCTTTCTATCCATCTATTGTCTAAAGTATTGAGATTATATATCTGGATTCGTTCAGCATGATAAAGGTCCCGGGGAAATCAGCCTTGTCATGTCCGGTTTGTAGTGATGATAATCCTGAGGCCCCTTTAACCGTTCCTGGTATGAAAGTTCGATAAGTTTGGGATCATTTTTGTCGCTCTGTGCACCGGAGATCTGTATAACTGAACAACCACGACTCCCTAAAGGAACACGAATGGTTCAATTCTCAAAAAAATATCTACAAACTTACAAACTCCCAGAATTTTGAGACAAGGGAATTGCTTCAAACTCAATATCTCCCCTTGTTTTGTACCTGACGTTAATTACGAGTGAACAATGATTTAATATCACATAAATATTGAGTAATTTGAACAAATCCACAAGGGCCGTGACGAGGATTCGAACCTGCGTCCGAGAGCATCCCAGACACTGCCTTAATCGACTGAGCTTGGTCTGGGATGCTCCCGGACGCAGGTTCGAATCCTCGTCACGGCCCTTGTGGATTTGTTCATTTGATACATCACGTTAGTGTGATCTCTGTGTGTATTGAGTAATTTATTTATTTATTTATTTATTTATTTATTTATTTATATATATACAAGAAGGTACATTGGGTTTGTGAGAATACATTGGATAGTACAGTATTTACATTCTTGTAAAGCCACTAGTACGCGCAGCGTTTCGGGCAGGTCCTTAATCTAGCAGATAATTTTAAGTAGGTAATTTCAATCAGAATTGATAAATGATAAAGATACATTACAAGAGAAAAATGAGATGAATGAGATTTATTGAAAAATGAGATTTATTTTATTGTTATTCAAAATGAGCAAGAAACGCAGCGTTGGTGGGCTTCCGCTGTTTCTCACACTGACGTAGGAATTCAAACAACAAAACCTCCTCCATAATGTCAAGCTCTTATCAACCATATTTAGTGGGATACTATAGCTTATGTTGGCGCCAGAGAGTACAAACGCGCAGGGCAAAGCTACACGAGCCATAGAGTCGTAGTTTAGATTGACTTGTGTGTTGACATCACCACTAACAGATCCCTCCCTAACCGGCCTTCTGACTGGCTGATGTCGAGCTCGCTAGTGCGATCATTCCTTCATATATACTAGTTGATCCTATCCTCATTATAAAGGGTTGAATACCCTTTATGATCCTATCCTCATTATAAGGGGTTGAATACCCTTTATGATCCTATCCTCATTATAAGGGGTTGAATACCCTTTATGATCCTATCCTCATTATAAAGGGTTGAATACCCTTTATGATCCTATCCTCATTATAAGGGGTTGAATACCCTTTATGATCCTATCCTCATTATAAAGGGTTGAATGCCCTTTATGATCCTATCCTCATTATAAAGGGTTGAATACCCTTTATGATCCTATCCTCATTATAAGGGGTTGAATACCCTTTATGATCCTATCCTCATTATAAGGGGTTGAATACCCTTTATGATCCTATCCTCATTATAAAGGGTTGAATACCCTTTATGATCCTATCCTCATTATAAGGGGTTGAATACCCTTTATGATCCTATCCTCAATATAAAGGGTTGAATGCCCTTTATGATCCTATCCTCATTATAAAGGGTTGAATACCCTTTATGATCCTATCCTCATTATAAGGGGTTGAATACCCTTTATGATCCTATCCTCATTATAAGGGGTTGAATACCCTTTATGATCCTATCCTCATTATAAGGGGTTGAATACCCTTTATGATCCTATCCTCATTATAAAGGGTTGAATGCCCTTTATGATCCTATCCTCATTATAAAGGGTTGAATACCCTTTATGATCCTATCCTCATTATAAGGGGTTGAATACCCTTTATGATCCTATCCTCATTATAAGGGGTTGAATACCCTTTATGATCCTATCCTCATTATAAAGGGTTGAATACCCTTTATGATCCTATCCTCATTATAAGGGGTTGAATACCCTTTATGATCCTATCCTCATTATAAAGGGTTGAATGCCCTTTATGATCCTATCCTCATTATAAAGGGTTGAATACCCTTTATGATCCTATCCTCATTATAAAGGGTTGAATGCCCTTTATGATCCTATCCTCATTATAAAGGGTTGAATGCCCTTTATGATCCTATCCTCATTATAAAGGGTTGAATGCCCTTTATGAGCCTATCCTCATTATAAAGGGTTGAATACCCTTTATGATCCTATCCTCATTATAAAGGGTTGAATGTCCTTTATGATCCTATCCTCATTATAAAGGGTTGAATACCCTTTATGATCCTATCCTCATTATAAAGGGTTGAATATCCTTTATGATCCTATCCTCATTATAAAGGGTT